CTCTCTCTCTCTCTCTCTCTCTCACCTCTATATTTTTCGATTTTATTTTCAGCATTAAAAACACACTCCTAATGCATTTTAAACCAAAATCTTCAGTTGCCCAATGAAGGAGCACTCTAATACTTGTCACCAAGAGAGACAGATAAATAAATAAATAGATAGATAAGTGGATAAATTGACAGATAGATAAGTAGATATAGATGGATAAATAGATAAATGGTAAATAGACAGAGGGAGAGAAGGTAGGACAAAAGAGGAGAGTGAAAGGGATATACGAAGCATGGTATGTGTGTGTGTATGTGTCGCGTGCGTGTGCGCGCGCGGGTGTATGCGTGTGCGCGCGCACGTGTGAGACAGAGAAAGATATGGAAAGAGATGGAGAAAAAAGAAAAAAAGGTCAAGAGAAAGACGAAGAGAAAGAGAGAACCATACATGTAAACGTGACAGAAAACAATAATATTACCGAAAGACGTTATTGTCTACGAAAACACGATGACACTCACACATATCACAAACTCCAATTCAACTGCTGAGAATATTACGAGTACTACATACAACAAGCAACTATAATACTCATTTACGCCGGCGACGTGACTTGCGACTCTACTATCAACAGTATTGACAACGAAGGTAGCGCTGTACCGGTGGCAAATACAATAATTGGTAGTAAACGGCGCGAAATTCGTATTTCGAAACAAGAACATTCAACATACTCATTTAAGCCCATTCTACATTGGTCGTATCGTAAGCGTCGTGAGACTTCTAATTGACATATCGGATTGGCTGTTGCAACAAATTTGTGACCAGCGACGCCTACGATACGACCAATGTAGAATGGGCTATACGATTTTTCTGATGGTTGCAGAGTTGTCGTACGACGCACGTCGGATGCAGTGTGAATCCTACATTAGGTCTTGGCACCATTGAACTATATAGTGGTTGGCACATCAAAAAAACTTAAGACTTATGTAGGATTCATGGGCCTTCTACAATAAGTCGTAAGTCACAAATCATAAGTCATAAGCTAGAAATGGACCAATCACAGTCGTCAATTTTTAGTTTCTTACTTCCGATTTATGACTTATGGCTTATTGTAGAAGGCCCATCCTACATTAGGGCCGATTATTCCATCTTTTGATAAAGTTTATCTATTAGATAAGTAGCAAGATTACCCAATTATGTGCGTGGATTGCTAGATTTACCTAATAGGTAAACTTTACCGAAAGATGGAACAATCGGCTCTTAGACTGGAGTTACATTGAGCGGAAATCTACAGCGGAACGGAACAGCGAAACCAATCACAATCACAGAAAGTAAAGTAGCGGAATGATTGTAGAGTTCTGATTGGTTTCACTGTTCCGTTCCGCTGTAATTTCCGCTCAATGTGACTCCAGCCTTAGGACTCTTAAGCGGGGAGAACAGACTTTTGCATAACGCATAAACCATATACATAAAGAATTTGATTGGTCCATCATGCATAAGAAAATGGACCAATGAAATTCCTTATGCACATGCTTTATGCGTTATGCAAAAGTCTGTGCTCCCCGCTTAACTGTATATGCGTTTGTGACTTTGTGTAAATGAACTGGTTAGGAAACGTCAAAAATGCCCGGTTGCTGTATTGAGAATTGCAAAAATCGCAGCGAAAGAGGCTTTCGTTTATTTCGCGTGCCAACAGGCGATAGACGTAAAGAATGGCTTGAATTAATTGGCAAAAAAACATTGTCTGAAACAGCTGTAGTTTGTGAGGTATTACTAATTTTAGTTATTATCATATGATTCAGATATTATTATATATATTACATAATAATTATTACATTAATTTTACAGGTCCATTTCGACAATAATCAATTTGAAAATAATCGTGAAGATGGAAGAAAGCTGCTTCGTCCATTTTCAAAACCTAATTTGTTACAGAAACACATAGCAGAAGATAAAGATAAAGAGGAAAATAATTCTAGGAATCCGGAATTTTCCAGTGATGTCGAGGTTATACAATTTTGTAAGTTTTACACAATATAAAAGCGTATCTATTACTATTATATAATTTGAATTGTATTAAAACAAATATTTGTAGGTGAATGTGAGATCAATACAACAACAAATATAATAAACGCATCACAGTATGAAATGTATAATACAAAATATATAGAATCTTTAAAATTAAATTTAAAGAGGGCTAAACGGCTATGCAATCAATTAAAAGCAAAATTGCAAAAAAGACAAGCAAATTTTGATAAAGTTTTTAACATAGATCAAAGAAAGTGTATCGCACGTTCATCGTACAGAGGAATATCGTGGTCGGCACGTACAATTAATAAAGCATTGAAACTTTATGTGGCCTGTGGACAAAAAGGATATGAGGAAATTTGTCGACAGAATTTGCCTTATCCAAGTATTCGTACCTTGGAGCGTATTCAACATTTAAAATTTAAGCCTGGTATGGAAAAGATCTTCACTATATTAAAGATTAAAGCTAGTGCTAATTAGTAACTTTCTATTAAATTATCATAATTTCAGTAATGCATGTAAATGTAAACATATATCAATGATGTTACATATGTTTACTTTCAGCATGTACCTAGGATCGCTTAGATATCGGTATAACGACGATTTGTGCAGAGCTAGATCGTGCATTAAGAGGCTTTTTGGTGTCTGGAAATCTGTCTGTAGATGTCTGTCTGCTCAGAGGCAATTGATGTATGATCCTAGTATGGGCAATATAGCAGGCAAAACAGTCAACGGATGTGCTTCTTCATAACATGAGAATTACACATACAATATACGATATAGAGCTTGAAAATAATTTCGTTCATGATCTAAACAGACAAAATATTTCTGATGACAAAGATCGACAATATGTATATCAAGGACGTGCAAACGCAAATCGCATACAAGAAAGTTTTATTGCTCGTCAGTATAAAAGAGTTTAAACTAAAGTTTAAGCTGTGAGAGAAGAACACAACATCAATTATTGTAGTAAGTTTCATATAATAAACTTTTTTTGCAGTACAAAATTTACAATAGCCGAACAATTTAAGCAATATAATATTATATAATTTGTTGCAAGATTTTTGGCATATTTGGAAAAAATATATTTATCATTTAGCATTAAAATTTTTGTACAAAAAGAAATTATATTTATTTAATTTTCTATTTCAGGTTGCAATTAAATTCACGAGATCACCATTACATCAATACCAGATGTACTACAAGGAGAAATCATCTCATATATTTAACAGCTTAGCGTATAAGTTTTGCATGTTTTCAATAATTTCCATATTCCGTTTATCTTGCAAAATTCTTCGTTCTTCGAGTTTTTGTCGTTCCTTTAAAGCACGTTCCTCTAAAGCAATACACTTTTCATCGTTTTGTGCAGAAAATAATGCAGTTTCAGCCTGCTTCATTAAAGGCTTCTGCAAATAACTATTTAAAATAATTATCACATTATTATTATCTAACATTATCACCATTGTATTATACTTGTTGTCCATGGTCTTTCACATGAAAGAACAAAAAATAACAATTAATGATAAGTTACTAGTCATTAATAAGTAGAAAATATACTCGTAAAGCTGTTGTGTGGTTTTCAACTATCTCTCTGTAAATTTTTCAAGTGCTTCTTGAAGCTATGCATTTGTTGTCTGTTTTTTTCTAGACCGTACAAAATAATAAATGATAATGATAACACAGATGATTGCTTTAAATGTATAGGAATTGTACGTGCGTGCGTGTACGCGCGCGCGTATGTGTGTAATACAGTAGGTTCGGCCCCCCCCTGTGGAGGGGTCCACTACTGTTAAAAATAACGTAACCCAACACATTTGTTAGTATGAGGTAGCTTTCGCTTCGCAGAAAAAGTCGAAACCTATGTGTAACAGTACAATCATGGAAGTGTGTTCGCATGGAAAATCATATGCTTGTTCTGTTGCAAGTGGGTTTCGACTTTCCATTTATATTGTATACAAAAAGATGAAATTAAAAAAAGGAAAAAAAAGAAAATCGGTATTATTGAATCTCAATTCTTTATCAATTACTTTACTTTATATAAATAATATTTCTTTTCTTGTAGTATAGAAAATATAAATTTATAATTAATTTTATATATTTTATAAAAAAAGCGATTACAATGTGTGAAAAATATAAAAAGAAGACAAAGTAAGAAAAAGTTATACAAATATTATGGAAGGGCGCGCACATAGCGCACGCCTGTTATGTTCTAGTATAATAAAAATGTAATTAGATAAATCTCTTTATACATATGGTTATGTATAAACTATGCAAATTTATCTATGGCGTTTTTTCCGTTATCCAACCAGAGACAACCACGACTAAGGTTATCTTTGTCATCTGATCTCTAAAGACGAAGATAGTCTTAGCCATGGTTGCTTCTGGTTGCATAACGAAAAAACACCTCTGGATAGGTTCTCATCGGTTTACGTTTAGGTTATAGATTAGTTTAAGTTTTCGTGACGAAATTAGACAATACAAATTCCTTTATATTCTTTCAGAAAATACGATAAAAATGGTTAGAAAATATAAAAGGTCGTCTAAGGGTACACATATATGTCTGACTCGTGGTATACCGGGCACGAGTTATTTTTTAAAATTTCCTTTTTGATTTTTATTTAAAAAAACAAATCAATATTTACGAAAAATATGCTCATATCATTATTTATGGAAAAATAATTGAAATATACATTATTCCTTAATTATATGTATATAAAAATTGTGTGTGTGTGTGTGTGTGATCAAAAATCTTATATTTTTTACTGTTTGAATTTTTGTGACTCATAGTACCTCGGTCTTCCCTATATGTATAGACACAACACCAGATCATAATCTTTCTTTTGTATATGAATTAATATTTTAAGTAACTGGAACATCAAAATCAATATATTTTGCAGTATAAAATCTTAATTGATTGTATAATAAAATTTTTTAATATATGTGTACTACGAATGAAAAATTTATTTTTGTAAAAAAATCTACCAAAAAGGAGAATCTATCGTTATGTTAAATTATTACATTTTTAAATAAATTATTATATGTGTAATTTGATAAATATACATGATAATAAAATTATAATAATGTATAATCATAATATTATAGTAAGATATTATAATTTTATTATTTTATAATGACAAAATTATAATAAAATTATAATAATCATAAAAAATAAAATTGGTATGTAATAAACTGATAAGAATTACAAATTGTTTACTAAGTAATATTAATTAATTGCGTATCTTAAATTTATACAAAAAACAAAATACTGTAGATTTCGTAATATGTATGTAGGCATTTATAATAAAGGAGAGGGAAACTATTATTATTTAAAATATTATGTGTAATACTTTAAGAATCATAATAATAATTCTCTAACATTTAATCTGTTAATGGTACATCTTATGTATATTAATATAAAACAGTTTAAAATTACGCATGTAATAATACATAATTCAAGTTATTTAATTATAATTAATAATATTTTTTCTTATATTTGCGATATCTTTCTACTTCAGATTGTCTCCGTAATTGATTTATAAGCTCCATTGGAACGTACCATAACTTTTCAATATTATTAAGTAGAGCTTCCGTTACTCGACAGCATATAGCAGCCATGTTGACCTGAGCGGTTAGATCGGTATGGTTTTGAGGACAAACATACCGGGGTGGGAAGAGCGATGGTGCCACTATCATTGCCACGTTATGTATAGACATTTTGTTCGATGTTTGATTTTCGATGATCAGCTTTAGAAAATTTAACAATGCTTCTAAAGTACACCGATGTTCAACAGGTAGCAATAATACCAACAAATTAAGAGAATACACCAAGTCATTGGGGTTCTTGACACCTATGAAATTATTTCTTTATATTCTTACAGCATATATACATAAAATATCGTGTGTATATATATATATATACATATATACATATACATAATATATATAATTTACTAACCATGACTTTGATAGAAAGCATCAATCAATTCGACAGTAAAAAGAGGTTGCGGCAAATCTCGTAATAATTTTTTCAGAACGGCTGACAAATCATGACACGGAGCACGTTTAAACAACTTATCCATCTCCTTTGGTTTACAATAAAAATCTGTTTCTAATTCCGTACAAATTATTTCCACCTAAACAATTAGTTTTACTTGATATTAATAAATGATACATAAATATTAAATTATTAAGTATTAGGTGTATAACTTGAAACTCGCCCTTTTTTTGCCAAAATTAAGCCTTTATTTAAAAAATAAGTAAAAAGAATTTATCAATCAAAGTTTTGGCCATCGTTAGATATGATTTTTTCCTATCTTTCTGGTAATTGGTGGATCCCACGGCGAAGGAACGACTCATCTTTAGAGGCTATCCAGTTAGAGACCCATTTTTCGACGCTTTCATAAGACTTGAAGTGTTTTTCTGCAAGTGCGTGTGCCATTGACCGAAACAAGTGGTAGTCGGAAGGGGCACAGTCTGGTGAATAAGCCGATAGGGTAGCACTTCCCAGCGAAGTGCTTCTAACGTTTCCTTAACGAGTTTTGTGACGTGAGATCAAGCGTTGTCGTGAAGCAAGATCACTTTATGCTGTCTTATCTCATATTCTGGTCGTTTTTCGCGCAATGCTCGGCTTAAACGGATTATTTGTTGTTGGTAGAGATCTCCTGTGACTGTTTGACCAGATTTCAACAGCTCATGGTACACTACACCCTTCTGGTCCCACCAAATACGGAGCATAGCCTTCTTCCCATGAATATTCCGTTTTGGCGTCGATGTCGATCGTTGGCCCGGATCGTAAATGGTTTTTCGCCGTTTGGGGTTATCGAAATAGATCCACTTTTCATCGCCAGTCACAATTCGATGCAAAAACCCCTTTCTTTTTTGCCTGGCAAGCAGCATTTCGGAGATGGTTTTTCGCCTTTCGATGTCTCTCTCTTTCAATTCATATGGTACCCATCTTCCTTCCTCGTATACCTTTCCCATGGCATTTAAACGCTTGGAAATAGCTGCTTGAGTAACATTCAACGTTTTTGCAAGTTGATTTTGTGTTTGACATGGATCTTCATACACCATTGCTTGCAGTTCTGTATCGATGACGTACTTTATCATTCGTGTCAAAATCACCAAATTTGAATCGTCGAAACCATTCCTTGCAAGTTGTTTCTGATAGAGCAAGTTTCTTATAAGCTTCAACAAGCATTCGATGAGATTCAGGAGCAGTTTTCTTCAAATTGAAACAGAAAAGCAAAGCTTCGCGCAAATGATTGCTTTTTTGATTGAAATTCAGACATCTTCTTCGCAGTGAACAACTATGTTGTTGTCACAAACACAAACTTTTATATACTGAATATTATTGACAAAGGTCCAAACTATAAATGATGCCTTTGTTCGGCCATTACAATTATTTATCGCTAGAGAACGGGTTTCAAGTTATATACCTAATAATATGTAAACAATTATCTTAGCTTTTTGCTGCAAAACTTTTTTAAAGTATTCTCTCTGAATCTTAGT